TACAGAACAGCACAATAAGAAGTTTCACCTCCTCATTGAGACTGAGTGCACGTAGCAGAGACTCCACATCGTCAAACTCTGCATAGCCAAAGCCCTTCAGTCGCTCCGGGTTACTGGGTTCTCGTGGGAGACGCACTGCACTGATCTACAGGAACAGAACAGATTAAATAAAGCAGTGCAGCAATACTTCAACCTCTCTGAGAAGAGAGAATTTCGAGTGCAAACACATTTTTTCTGAGTCTCCAATTGTGTTTTATTACGGTGAGCAAACACAACTGAATACTTTTTGAGTTAAATCTTGTGTGTGACACACAGAAACTGTGTCTTTTTACTGCCCACTTTATTAGACATGCCTACCTTGTAGGCATATATAGACAATATTTACTCATTTAAACACAGAGCTTCAGCATATGTCATGCACCATTTGTGTTAACTGTCATCTACCCCTTCATCAGTAGCAACTTTCTGACCACAACATTATTGCTGGCTGGATATTTTGGGGTTGTGGACTGATTCAAAACCCAGCATTGACACCAAGGTGTTAAAAAAAAAACGTCAGCAACACTGTTGTGCCTGTTACACCCATACCAGCACAACATCCGCCAGAAATACTAGTACAGTGAGTGTTGCTGCTGTGCTGAGAATGGTGCACCACTCAAACAAAATCTGCTCAGCTGTGTCCAAATAGTTCTCCTGCTCCACTCATGGACAGGATAGAGATAAGGTAAATAGGGTCAATAGCTGCATACTTACGAAGTGCATTCAACAGAAGCACAGCAAAGGCATTATTATTATTATTACGTGCCAAGTGCCACAGTATGCACATTCACACTAAATTCAGTATTTTGAATGGTACTGGGGATGGACACAGATCAGGATAAAACACTCTAGCACTCTAGAGCAGCATACTCTGGTCCTGGGGTACCCAGTCCCTGCACATTTTGGTATTTTCCTCACCCCCATAGTCATCAGCTAATAACCAAGGCTAAACTAGAATAAACTGGCTAAGTTGGAGGCGGGAACACACCAAAACGTGCAGGACAAGGGTACTGAGAAACACTGGTCTAGAACACCAATAAAGCATGTCTTCTAGGATTCTACTGTACATAACATTAGCAATGTCTACACTATAAACATGCCTATAAGGCGCCATATATCAGAGTGCATGTTCACCATCCGGCTATTCAAGTAAGAGATCTTATGGAAAATAGCATGAGTCACACAGACTGCAGAAATTTCTCAGTACAGTTATGAGTTGAAAAGGGTGAATTACAACTCACAACTAGTTACATACCGCATAGCAGCTTAAAAGGCACATCTTCAATGGTAAATGTGCCAAATAGTTACCAGTTAGCACAATATTTATATGATAACAAAAACTACTTCTAGCTGGAACATCCCATATGGAACGATCAGCATGTCTTCTATCTATAGTGTGCCCACAACACTTGTTTTAATTTTGGTAAAAAAAAATAAATAAATAATAATAATAATAAAATAAAATAAAAATAATAATAAAATGGATTCCATCTGGCCTTAACTTACATAAACCTTTTTCAACATTAGTATACATTACCTTTAGGACTGATACACTGAAAATTTTTGTTTTGGAAATTTGTGTTTTCCAGGTTTTCAATCATGCTTTGCATATACATGTTTATTACTTTATTTCAGATGTAACTAATTTCTACATAGTTTAATTGAACACAGATTTAGAATCATGAAATACTGATCAAGATACATTGACAGGTGCAAGAAATTTCACAGCAAAACAATGGAGCAAATTGAAGATTAAAAAGAAAAATAAAGCAACTTACACTGAGTCCGTGGAAAAAGCTCTTGATGGAGTCTTCGGTCACATCATAGGGCAGGTTGCCCAGGAAGGCGGTGTATGGCGGGCAACGCGGCAGGCGCGAGCGGTCGATGTTGGGCTCGCGGGCAGCCCGGGGTGCCGTGGGTAGGATGGAGCGATCAATGGGTGGCGCACGATACACATCTTCCTCCGTGTGCCAGGAGGTAGTAACTGTCAGCAAGAGAACCAGGGATAAAGCTACCCATTCCACTGAAGCCTACGTCTGCACACACTGATCTTGCAATAATTCAGTAGGTACTTATCAATTAAGTGAGATTGCAATAAAGCATGCAGCCAGAGTCCTTACTAGAACCAGAATGTTTCATCATATTACTCTTAACCACACTACATTGGCTCCAGGTAATATTTTTCATTGATTATAAAATACCGCTGATGACCTGTAAAGCACTGAATGGTCTCACCCCACAGTACCTGAGCGAACTTTTGGTCTATTATATTCCGCCACCTCTGCTTTGATCGAACGCTGCAGGTCCTTTATCAGTACCTAGATTAATGAAGACTAGAGCAGGGTCAGAGCTTTTTCCTACATGCCCCCACAGCTATGGAATTAACTTCCTGTTCCTGTGTTATGTTTTGGCTCTCCTTTCTCGCTTTAGTTAAATTTTCATAGTTAGACCTGCTGGAGTCTCTGTTCACACTCTGATCACAATATATACATGCACTTCAGACATGATGCCTGATCCTGACACATTTCTCCTGCTGTGGCTCCCCTCACCCTCCAGACCTGACTGACTGATCTACTACTTTTGCTTTGTTTTTCATTTTTCTTCATCTGGAGCTTTCTGCACTTGACTTACCTGTTCGTTCCAACGTATATAAGCTATATAGAGGAATGACAATAAAAACCCACTTGACTTGACTTTCTGCAAAGTAGTAAAGAGACCAGAAAGTGTAGAGATCTCACTACCTAGAAGAACCGAGTAACAGTACAGAAGGTAAAAACTAATTCTTATATTGTTCAGCCAGTTTAGCCCAGATGTTAGCTAGCTATCAAGTTAGGTATAGTGGACAGCATGTTATGGTAGCATAACGTAAAGTAACTTGCACGTTATGGCTGAAAACAGCCTAAAGGTTTGTGACATACAACTTCTCCTACAAGGTCAATGGTTTGTAATTGGTACTAAGGATATACTGATATATACCGAGGTAAATCCCTATGTATACCATTATATACCTATCTATCGGTTTCTATCGTTTCTGATCAAACCAGAAAAAAAATAAACATGATCTAACTCCAGTCCAACATCTCAAATTAGTACTGACCCACATAATCATATTGGTACACTGGTACTTGAGATAAAATACATAAAATTGGTACTTAGGACAATTGTGAGATGGTGATTTTAAAAAAAAGTTCACTTCAAGTCCTGTAAATGAACTAATGTTTCAAACAATGATTAAAAAAAAAGACAACAGCAACACAAAACATGATTTTAAAAAAAAAAACAGTTTCAGCCCATTTACATGCTAAATTAACTAATAACCCACATGATCAACAAATGACCGATAAAACAATCGCATAAGAACACATGGAGCCCACAAGAGCGACTAAAACCATAGAGTAAATGAATTGTTAAGCCATGTTACACACTAATAAATAAATAAGCAACAAGGAAAAGCTAAGACCAACCGAACCCCATTTCTAAGCATGATACAGGCTGTGTATTTTTTGCTAATGGTCTCACCGTCTCCCTCCAGGTCATCGGTCTCATCTGCCCAGCTGGTAGGTTTTGCGGGTGTGTAACTTGGTACAGAGCTGCCCCCACTGTCCTCTGCTAAGAAATCAGTCAGGGTGAGGGTCTTCCCCTTCTTTCCCTTCTTCTTAGCTGCAAAAAAAGACACATTAGGTATATTTACATGCAAAATATTTCACAACTCTGCAGCTAATTCTCACATAAAGTAGTGTTTCCACTATAATTACTATGGGGTAAATATTTTGAAGAGGGCACAAAACGATGTAATCTAAAGAGAACAAAGACAAGCACAATGCAGGCTACAGCCCACATCATACACACTGGCCAACGCAAATACAAGCAGTTCTGAGGGTGACATCTAGGGCTGCAAAATAAATCTCAATCTGATTTTTGACTGAATTTTTAATGTTGATTCATATGTCATTATGGTGCACTAGACCACTTTTCACATCCTTTCTGCACTAATACTGAACTTGGACCATGGTAGGTCCTAATTTAGATACTGGCACCACACTTGGGCAGAATAGCAGCCGGTGAAATTAATATGCAGGCAAATCCATAATGCTTGCCAGTTATATTTTAATCTTGAAGACTTGCTTGTAACAGGCTGACCTGTCTGTCTACTGCCAACTGGGTTTACCCAACAACTATACGATTGTTTTATGACTAAAACTTTTTGACCGAATTACTTTGAGATAAAAGACAGTTTAAAAAATACATATCTGATAGGATTGAACATGTAAC